TGGCTTGAAGAAGATCTCATCGAGGGTAGTGAAAGTGAGGAAGATGTAGATCTCATGACTGTACCGGCGCAAAAAAAGCGCTTGGTGATGATTCATCGAGCCATTAAGGCATGGGCTCGCATTACGCCGGCAGAAATCCGCCGTAGTTTTGATAAAGCTATTCCTCAATGAAAATTTTCTTTGGCAAAAACAATCTTGAACTTTGTATGCACTTGGGAAAAAAGTTCGACGCGCCCGGGAATTGAACCCGGGGCTCACTCAAGTCACTCAACGTGTTTTACCACTGCGCTATCGCGTCAAACGCTTATCATTGTTATCGCTTCATCAATCCAGTTAATTTAAAAAACCTGATTGTTCGAAATTATTGAAATTGGAGAACCTGCAATTTGGTTGGCCAGAAATCAATCGAATTCCGCCCAATCCATTTACCTCGTACTGTGAAATCGAAGGAAAAAGTGTCCCTTAAAATCCGTCGTTGATTGTATGTGTTTACATCTGTGCGCTGTACCTTGAGTGAATGGGCTCAACGACAGGATATGCAGTACAGTAGGCGCTAAAAGTTTGGACTTAACTATGAGTCGTGGGGGGTATCCACGTGTAAAAGTCTACAGTAGCCCCTTTAGTACGACCACGTGTACTGGGCCCTGACCAACGTGGACTCGACACGTTATCTCCGCCCAACAAGTCCTGCGGTGGCATTTCCAACACGCAATACCCCAACAACCTCTTTGGCTACGGCTACTCGAATCGTTGGAGTCAACGACATGTTTACAGTCAGTTAGCATTATTGGCTGGCGATTGCAAGGATTAGAACCATGCATGCAGATGAGTGAACAAAGCGACTTGTGTTTGCATGTGTGCAGGGCGAAGTTTAGTGGATAGAAGTTGAAAGAATGTAGGGCACAGCGACATTTACAGGGAAGTGCTAGAGGTGATGTGTGTTGGACATGTAAAAAGAAGTAGTTACATCGCCACCTACAGCCCTCATAGTTTAGATCGACACAGTTGTAGTGGTGTGCAATCCCTACATACCGGTAGTCAACACCTACTGTATCATGCAGGATCTCGACCTAATATGAACAGGAGGAAATTTTCAAAGTTTGTGCCCACAGGTGTGGATATCAGCAGTCGCCGGTGTCCTTGTTGAGCGAGCACTCCCACATCATCAGCTCAGGACAGGTGTAAATGTGGCATCGGAGTGTAAATCTACAAATTTTGCGAAGTGAAACGTTTGGAACATAAAGTTACACGACCTTTCGCATCCCGTTAAAATGCAGCTACAACATTCACCATGGATAGCCTGCAAGACCAAGGCGTAGTCGACGACAAAGCTCAACGCTCTTTATTCATTCGAGTGCGAAACTTGACACCATCGAAAAGCATGAGGTCTCCGTCGCGCAACTTTATGGATAGGTGGACCAGCAAACCGCAATCCCCCACGTCTGAGGTCGAAAAAGGCCCCAAATCGTCTGGGCTTCATGGATTGTTGGACAAGGATGCAGCGGCACCCGAGCCACTGCCTTCACTCGTGAGCGCTCAAGAGTCTGTGAATTTGCGTGTATTTCAGTCTGTGACGTTGTGGCTCAAAGAAAACGGTGTCCTGTACACCCATTGTTCGTCATCGTTGACTCCACCCACAAATCAAACGCGTGTTGGTTTACATCAAGTGTACGACACTCTGTTCAACTCGATCGACCAACAAGACAATCAGCTCACGAACGAACTGCTGGAGCTCAACAGCCACGTTCTACCCCCTGTTGAGGTACAACAGTAAGCGTCGACTGGTCGATCGCTTGAATGTTGAGTAGGGGGCCGTCCTTTCTTGCAGCAGGACCAATATCCAACAGGGCAGCAACAGCACCAACAGCTTGTTTGATGCGGTTGTGGTAGTAGGGCCCGATCTCACGGACATTTTGATCAGCCACGACTTGGACGCAACGTTTGACCCCGTAGTGTGCCACACGTATCCGTCGGATGTCGTATTTGAAAGCATCCAGCACTTTTGTTTTCCCAATGGCGTTCGATTGGTGTCTGATGATGGGCGCCGCCCCACCATCAACAGTTCCGAGACCGATTCGGACACGGAAGCAGGAGATGACGATGACTACGATAGCCAAGACGATAACGACAGGTACTACATTGCAGACACCATCAATCAATTCAAGAGCGTTGACATGGCCGCAGCAAACTCGACGACGAGTTTTTCGTTTTTGTGCTCTCTGGTGGCGGCAAAGAAGGTCAGGACGTGCAATATGCCTTGTGTCGGCAAACGTGGGTCCGCGTGCCCAACCACATGCTGTTGAAGCCGCAAGGAGCGACCTATGTCCCGTTAACGTACTGCCTTCTCGTGAAAATGCCATACATTCCCTTCTTTCGGACCATTCTGCATCATGTCATGGGTACACCGTACTAACAAGCAAATGTCTGCGCAAAATTTAATACTTGTTAGACAAACACGTTTTGGAACTTGACGAGCACCCTGCCTTGTGGGCAGACTTGAGCACACTCATGACGCCGTCGGTAAATGAACTGATGTTCCAACCGGAAACGAAAGTGTTGATTGTACATGTAGCACCAAGCATGGCTCGACTCAAAATTGAACGTGCTGGCCACGATGGACATGCCCACGATTCACAAATCTATTGGAAGCGATTTCTTCGACAAAATCGACTTATCAGCACTGCAATTAGATCGTCCGCGTCGACGCCTCCCCAGTTTGACTTCCACCTCAGCATCCGACGATATACCCCCGGCTTTGCTGCTGGAATGGTCCCTTCCCATCGTCCTGACGTCCATGACCATGGATTCCGTGCTCCAAACCATAGCGGCGTTGCTTTTAGAGATGAAAGTGCTTGTGGTGTGTGACGACATCGAGTTGTTAACGGCCACCGTCCTGGGGGTCGTGTCGTTGCTAGCGCCATTGGTATGGACGGGCCCGCTCATTGCCGTGTTGCCGTCGTCCCTGTCGGAGTACTTGGAGGTACTCGAATCATGAGAACGATGTTCGATGTCTTACTTACTTTGCATTGTGGCAGGCCCCCGTACCATTTGTGATTGGCGTCCAAGCCCTTCCAGTTGGCTACGTGGCGCCGTCAGACACGTTGCAGTTGTTTCCCCAGTCGAATCGTGTTGTCGCAAACGCTCTGCCTCTACCCGACTCGGACACCTTCAAAGCTGACTTGCTCGCCATGTCCCTTCGCCGCGATTCCGCCTACGTTGACCATATCATCGAACGATTTCGAGCGTACATGCAAGCGCTCTTGCGAAAGTGCAACGGGCAGAACCCAGGACCTCACGCGTTTTACGACTGCGTCAAGGCCACCCAATTGTTCAGCTCGTACCAACAACGCAACGAAGACATCAAGCAAAGTCGCGACGGTGCCATCCGCCATTTAAAGTTGGAGCCACGGGCGCCGTTGATTCCACGCAAGAGCGTCTCGAGTAACCAACACGAAAGTACGACGTTAATGGTCCACAACCTCTTCCAAGTGGTATGCCATGGCGAAGTGCCTGCTTCACTCCACCCACCTCCAGAAGTGCCGCCAACTGCAGCAATCTCGGCCTTGGCGAAGCTTCGGATGATGTGCGCTGGTACGGACAAAGGCGCGTTGGACGACACCCCGTCCCCTCTTGAACTCGTGAGTTCTCGAAAATCTCAAACCAAGATAATCACCAAACAGGTCGCTCCAAAGCGCAAGACATCTGCCCCGTTGTCCCCTCGGCCGAAACCAGAAACCATCACGCTGGTCCTTCGGAAAGACCCATCAGGCGTGTCCGTGGTGAATCCCATGACGCAGGAGATGGGCGTGAAACCACCTCCCTCTCATTTGAGTGTATCTCCCTCACTCGTCGTCCCCCCCACAACTCACGCCCCCCTCCTCTCGACAAAGTCTGTGAGAATTATTGAGCCCGAGCAAATCAACTTAGCGTGCAACGTCTCAACTCCTCCAACACTAAGTAATCCAACGCTTGACGATGTCGATTCCAGTGAATTGCCAGAGCAAGGAGTAGAACACACAACGTCAGCCACGAAGATTCAGCGGTTGTACCGACAGTGGAGCTTCAAGAAACATCGCGTCCTCTACTCGCGGTGTAACTCGACTCCGACTCCGCCTGCTTTAAGTGAAAACACCATGATATCCACGCACGATTTGGCTAGTGTGATCCAAGCCAAGACGCTCTTCGTAGCAGGAGTTCTCGTGTCCAAGGTACACCCCCCCCTTCATCTTTACTCAATCTGACGATACAAGTAGCTGGGTCGACATGGCACGTGGGGACGGCGCCGCCTGCGAAGTGACTCGACTATCGATCACTTGATGTGGGAAAAGGTCACTGGAAAGCACCGAGTGAGCGGCAACTCGATGGTTTCATTTCGCGACATCACGCTTGTCGAGGCAGGTATCAAAGGCAGTCAAAGGACCACCGTCATGGGCTCTTTGTTGTTTGCGAGTACCGATCACGACGAGATGGACCTGTGTTGGACAGTGCACACGTCTGACAGTCGCCGCCGCGCCGTGGTGTTCAAGGCCAGCTCGACCGCAGAGCGGCAGCGCGTGATGGCCGACCTGCAGAGCCTCGTGACGTACACCCTCTTGTCGTCGGGTCAGGTAGTTCTGTCGTCGCACACAATTGGTGCGACCGAGGGCGAATTGGTTGTGCTGCGGAAATTCAAAGACGAGCTACGCGCCGGCATTTGCATCCGAAAGGTACATAAGTGCCGAGTTTTTTGTCATCATTTTGAGCCTTGAATAGCATGGACGACAAGGCAAACCCCATGCAAAGTACCTCTCGTGCGACGCCATGTGCACACAACTCGAGTGGCGCGACCCCCCCACGAGCGGGGGCCGCGGGTGGCTGAAGCGCGCGTCGTCGTTGCAACATGCCAACATTGACGACCCCAAGAATGTGATTGCGTTCGCCTCCATCCAACACGTGACCCCCTCAGAATCCACCAGTCCGCACCGGAGTTTTATCGGCTCGGCCCAGCACTACCAGCGGATTTCCATCGTCAGTTCCGTGCGCACGCTTGTCATTAGCACCGACCCACCGCAAGACCTCATGCGAGTGTACCATGGTCTTAACCTCCTTGTGAGACACCTACGGATCGACAAGTAGAGCTGGGCGTGTATCTGTTGTATATATATTATACAGGATAATGTATGTGGTTGCATAAAAAGCGTAAAATGACATGCAATACACGTCGAGATGCAGTTTACAGTTAATCACGATAGAATTGAAGGGGCCAACATACAGCAGTCCAGATATTAATAACTTCTTATGATTCTCTTATCCAATGACTTGTGCACATCTCGCCTATTCAATTCGGAGGCTGGCTGCGTCCTTGACATGATATTGACATAATCTACGTAAGTATATTCTGACCAAGTTTGCATTACCCCTCCATATCCGCATAACGAGTATCCGGATGTAACTGTTCTGAAACCGCCCCCCCGACGACCTTTCCCAGTTGGCCTCTCTTCTCGTGTCCACCGTCATGTCAAGCGCCACCCTCGTGCACCGTCATGTGTTTGGGCTCAAGACGACCAACGCGAACAACGTCGTGTACGTAGACGACCAGTTGGTCGCGTATCCTGCTGGCCACAGCATCGTCGTGTACGGGATCGACGACAAGAAGCAAAAGTTCATCACGTGCACGGAAAACACCGAGGGCATCACATCGATATCCGTGTGCGCGAGTCGGCGGTCCGTCGATTCCGATATTATCGTACTTACTAACCTCGCATAAACCTTGATTGCAGGTTCATTGCAATCGCGGAAAAGAGCGAGCGCGGGGTTGTGAGCATCTACGACTTGAAAACGCTCAAGAAGCGCAAGGTGCTGACCACATCCGACTGCCTCAGCAAGACATACGTGAGCATGGAGTTCAGTACGGACAACCAGCTGCTCCTGACGCAGGGCGGGGCCCCCGACTGGGCCCTCGTGTGCTGGAACTGGTCCAAGGGCAAACCGGTGGCCACTATCAAACTCGCCCCCGCGGGCACCACGTCATCTTCAACATCAAGCAGCAACAACAACGTGGTCACGCAGTGTTCGTTTAGCAACGTGGACCCGTCCATCGTGTGCTGCACGGGGCTCAACATGATCAAGTTCTTCCGCATCGTGGACACCGCGTTCCGACCCATGCCAAGCAGCCGCGTCGACGCGCAGAACTTTCTCTGCCACGCCTGGCTCAAGCAAAAAGAAGACGAAGTCGTCGTGGGCACCGCCACCGGCGACTTGCTCTTGTTCCGAGTACGTTCCAACCATACAAGATAAATCTAGTCGGGTATATGTTTTCTTAGAAACCCAAATTCTGGGTTGCATGACGAATGTGTGTGTGTGATGGGTGGACCGTTAAACCATTTCGACAGGCGGGTGAGTTTATCTGCAGACTCATGGCGTCGCCCAGCGACAGTCGATGCATCACGTCGATCGTTGCGACGAGCAAGGGTCTTGTTTGCGGCACGGACAAGGCTACGGTACCCCTCTAAAACCAATCGTCTAGCACATTTTCTAAAACTTTCCATTGTTTTCTCGGGCATATGTAGGTGTCGCTGTTTGTGGTAAACCCGGACCGCAACACGCCGCCCGCAGACACGTTGACGTTTACGAAATCGCTCAAGATCGAAAGCATGCCGTCGCGGGTGACGGGACTGACTGTCAGCCCGAATGAAGAGACAATCGTGGCCGCCGTATCCAGCTCGCAGCTGTACATGTTTCCGTACCAGACCAAGGAGTCGTTCAAGACGGAAGAGATCGAGTTTTTAGTCACGCCGTTCCACCGGCCGGGCGAGTCGGGGCAGCTCCATGTCACGGGCATGGATGTGTGCGTGCGGAAACCTACAATCGTCACGTGCGGGCTCGACAAAAGTGTTCGGGTTAGAAATCTGCTGATTTGTGGAAGTTCCAAATGTTAGAGCTATCTTCTTATTTGTTGATGGGTTCGTGTGTATTGGTTCCGGGAACCTAAATAGTTTGGGATGATGGGGTTATGTTTGGAGTTTGGTGTGGGGCGGACGTACTGTCTAGCCTCGACGACCACTGAAGGAGATGTGATGGTTTAATGATGAGTGGGGATTGTGTAGAGTCTAATGGAATTATATATATATCATATATGTGATGCTTGGATTGTGTATCGTAGGTGTGGAACTATATTGATCGGACATGTGAAGTCCACAAACAGTTTACTGAAGAAGCGCACAGCGTGTCGATGCACCCGTCGGGTCTTCAAATCCTCGTCGGGTTTGCCGACAAGTTGCGACTCATGAATGTACTCATGGACGACATTCGACCGTACAAGGAGTTTACGATTAAAGCGTGCCGCGAGTGCCAGTTCAGGTAGGTTGTTTCTTATGCCAATTTGCCAAGATATATACTGTATATCGTCCTTTTACCCAAAATTTGGACTTTTGTGCTGATTCGCGAAATTTATTGATCGATTCTTTGTACTGACTTTTGTATGTAAAATTCGTCCAGAGTCACAATAATTCGATGTTGAATTGGTCGATGAGTGGATTTGATTGGCTATTTGATTCATGTTCTGGGTTTTGATTGGTCGATCGATTGTCTGCCGATTTGGTGCTGCTCATTCGATTGAGCACCCCACTCCAATTTCGAAACGACTTATATATCGACATAGCGCCAGATATCTTTCGTGGTTATTGTTAGTATTGAGTGAGGTGCTTGCATTTATCTTGACAACCTTAGCACGGGGGGGCATATGTTTGCCGCGGTGAACGGCAATACAATTCAAGTGTTTTCCATGAACACGTGCGACCTCGTGGCCAACTTGCGCGGCCACAACGGCAAAGTACGAAGCATTTACTGGAACTACGACGACTCGGGTTTGATCTCCGCCGGGATGGACGGTGCCGTGTACCAGTGGGACTTGGACGAGTCCAAGCGCGAAGGCGAGTTTGTCCAGAAAGGCGTGCCGTACTACTCAGCCGTGTGTAACCGCGAAGGTATTATAACCCCCCCCGCCTCTCCCTCTCTCTCTCTTGTGTCTTTGTTTGAAATGATATTGTGCTTTCGAGTGAAATTTCGTGTTGTGGCGTGGTTTCTCGTTGGAATTTAAATCGATTTGATTGGCTACCTCAGATGAGCTCAAAATTATTAGCCAATCAAAACCTTCTCAATGAAATTCAACCAATCAGATCAATTGTGGATCGGTTTGGTTGGCGCGATTCGATTGCACCCCCTCCCCAACTTTTTATCTATGTGTTGTGCTGTTTGTTGATGTTTGTTGAATGAAATGTCCTATGGGAAAGGTGTGTTGATACTGCATTCTGTTGATTCCATACATGGTTTCCGTCCAGACGTTTGTCCACCCTATTTTTCAATGTTGTTGGTCGGAGCTTTCTACAATCGGCTACACGTTTCTGCCCAACGTCCATTTGTCGATTGGCTGGCGACGTCGATGCATTCTTTGCCCCAGGGTCGAATAATCACAACTTCAGGATGCTGTTCATTTGGAATGTTGGCAAAGAATTATGATAAGCTATATGATCTGTAGGTACGTCGGTGTTTGCGGTTGGGTCGGACAAGATGCTCAAGGAGATCGAGTTTCCCGCCAGCTCCGTACGTGTATCGTCATATTGTCTTGCTAGCTTGGATGAAACAAAACACACTCGACAAGTTAACCTTTAAAGAACATATTTTAGATAAGTCATCGTTTAAAGAAATATTTTTTGAAGTTATGGTTTTTAAAACATATTTTTTGATGGATCGATAAAACATCATTTTTTTTATAGATTTCATGATTGTGTGTATCTGTAATATAGCTGAGCAAAGAGTTTAACGCCGATGTAACGTTGGGCCAAATCGTCATGGCCAACTCTCAGCGAATGCTGTTTGCGGGCGCAACCGAAGCCGACAAACTTGGGACTGTGCGGTCGTACAAGTTTCCACTGACGGGCGAGTTCACCGAGTTCCAGTGCTTGAATGGCCCTAGTACGTGTCTACATGTAGCACATTTCTTGTCTTTTTACGAACGTTGTTCCTGTGCATGGAAGGCGCATTTCATTTTGCATCCATAGTCGAAATATGTACAATTTCTCGAAATAAACTATTTGTATATTTTATGGGACCTAGTTACACGGATGCGCATCTCGTTTGACGATTTGTACCTGCTCGTGTGTGGGGAAGACGGCGTCGTGTGTATTTTTGAAATTCGCGACAAGGAAGGGCGGGCGCGCGCCAAGGACGGCCGCGAAAACACTGTCTTTGCCGAAGAAATCTTGGTAGGTGCTTATATATATATAATCCGAACATCAGGAGTCGTATTCGTGGATGTTGGTGTCTTCAATTCAGGAGCACTGGGGCCAATACGTTGGCTTTGTGAAACCCAAGTACCACCACTTTCATTCTCATGGGGTTGTCGACAATGTGATGTTCAGTATAGTCTTTTTTCACCCAAATTTGGACTGGGAAGTTTAGTTTATGGGAGAAATCGACTTGAAGCATAATGCCAGATTTGTACAGTTGATGAATCCCACCAACTGTATATACTATACACACCTTGCATATGAAATGTTTGACTACGGCAATTGGGCCAAATCCTGGGGTCAAAAATATCGCCATTGGTTGGAGTTCATTGTCTTCGTTTGGTCTACCGGTATCCATCCCACTCCAACTTCGAATCGGATGCATCATACGAGAGACATATGGATGTTTTGTGTCAGAGTTTCAGCTTATGCAATGTATGGTCTACACATTTCAAGCTCTACTTTTTGGTTGCGAATTTACTTTTCAAGCTGGAAACGGTGTATGTAGGTGACCAAGAGCGACCTCGAAGAAAAGAACACGCTCATGATCGAGTTGAAAAACAAAGTGGACGAACTGACGCTCCATAACGAGTACCAGTTGCGCCTCAAAGACATGAACTACAACGAGTACTTGAAGGAGTTGACGGAAAAGTTCACCCACGAAATCGAGCAAGAAAAAAATAAGTACGAAGTGCTCCGTGAAGACAAGAACGACATTGAAATGGAGTACGAGGAACGGGTCAAACAGATCGAAGAAAAGCATCAGCAGCAGATGCAGGAGATCGAGGCCGACTACCAGCAAAAGATCATGAAAGAGGTCGAGAAGTACCAAGACGTGCTCCATCAACGCGAATTGCAGCGCAGTCGATGGCAGCAAGAGCAGCATGCCCTCGTGAGCACCCACGAACGGTACAAGATGTTGTGTTTTATATATGTATTGCTTTGAAATATATGAACATATGACGGGGGAATAATCTATTTCACCGCATTTGTCGTAGTACCATATACTAGTTCAATTTGAACATTAGTATAATTGATTTTAGATTCTATTGATTTATATTATTATATTACCGATTTATATTCCATGGTGCAGAAAATCAACAACAAATACGGTAGGTACGTTGCCGAAGTGACCGAGGACTTTGAGCAGAGGTTGGACGAAGATCGCCAGTTGCGCATGCAAATGGAAGACGAGCGCGAAGAGCTGCACAAGGAGTTTAGCGAGACCAAAAAACAACTGGAGGAGGATGTCGACGAAGAGATCGAGTCGTTGAAAAAGCGGTAAAACAGATGACAGACATAAACTTTGAACATATTTGATAGCATATTTTTCGGTATGAATGACATATATATGTCGCAACATATTTTTCTACATAAATATTTTTCACGGGCCACCCTGGCTGCCACAAAAAATCTCAAGAAAACCCCAATTTGTTTAACTTTTCAGAATTGTTATTACAGAAGCGTTTCAAACGACAGCTTATGTGCGCTTGGCTACCCAACCTGACATATTTCGAAAATATTTCTCACGTCTTCTTTGAAAAGTGAATTCACTGTCAGGATAATATATGGCATAAGTATTTTTTGAGGCATGGAAACTCGGCCTAACTATGATGTGGACGGTTGTCTGAAGGTACGAGGACAAACTGGCGGCAGAGCGGGAGGCCACTTTGCGCTACAAGGGCGAGAACGGGATCATGAAGAAGAAGTTCACGGCATTGCAAAAGGACATTGAGGACCAGCGAGATGAAATCAAGAATTTGTTGGAGAAAGAAAAGGATCTCATCGAGCAAATCAAAGCTCTGGAGAAGGAGATCCAGTCGCTCAAGCGGGTAAGCCCGTCGATGGTTTACCGTACACAAGTTTGCATTTGCGACCGCCGCCCTCGCCACGTTATGCCATGGCTTGGGTTGTTGTGACCTGAGACGCTATCTCGTGCATTCAACTGTTTATTTCGACGTTCAAACATTAGGTTTATGAAGCATTTGGTTTTCGAAGTCATTAGGAAATGTCGTTACTATGGACAGTGTACCACAACCAAACCAACATTGATACAAAACCCGTTTCAACAATCACATTTCCCGTAGTATTTTTTGCTGGTTTTGAGACGACGATAACAATCCTTTTGACACATTGTTTTGATATATTTTTTCCATCGATTACATCTGGTTGAGTAGGAAATTCGCGGCCGAGACGAAACGATTGGCGAAAAAGAAAAACGCATTTACGATTTGAAGAAAAAGAACCAAGAGTTGGAAAAGTTCAAGTTTGTGCTCGATTACAAGATCAAGGAACTGAAGCGGCAGATCGAGCCGCGCGAAAACGAAATCTCCGACATGAAGGACCAGATCAAGGAAATGGACCGCGAACTCGAACTCTTCCACAAGAGCAATGCGCAGCTGGATATTATGATTGGCGAGCAGCGCAAGCGCCTGGACAAGATGCAGCACGACATTACAAGGAACCGCAAGGTCATTGGCGACCAGCAATCCCTCATTCGACGGTATTCAAGCTCCAAGTTTTCCTGTGAAAATCAATATGCAACTTTGGCAGGTTTCGGTGTGATTTGCACGATTGCGTGCAGAGCATTCAAAACCCCAAGGATTTGGCTCAAAAGGTGGCTATTTTGTATCAAAAGTACGTGACCACCGACATCAACGTGGGCGACGTGGACTTGGACATCCAGCACGAATATACCCGTCAAAAGGAATACTTGGAAAAGTCGGTGGAGGTGCTCAAGCGCAAGTACGCGCACGACGTGACGGCGCATCAAGAAGACAACAACCACGCCCGCAGCGACAACTTGGCGCTGATCCAAGAGATCAACGAGCTTCGAACAGCGCTCAATGTGAGCAAGGCGGCACTGCAGAAGGACAAGGCGATCCTCGGCACGCGCGAGTACTTCACCAAGAAAAGTGGCATCGACGACGACGTGGGCAAGGTCGTGGAGAATCAGCGGCACGAGATCGATGCGCTGCGACGCTCCATCAAAGCCATGGAGGAACGCTTGGACACGGCGCGGACCGGCGGTATGTTGCCCCCCATGCGCGGCATCGACGGGTGAGCGTTTCACAAGTGTAAAATGTTCATCCAAGCGTTCTGTCCAATACGTACTCCAGAGTACTTTTTAGGGGTCAGTCTGGACCAGGCACGACAAAAGTGGCTCGAAATACATCAGTTTTCATCCATTTTCAATGCAGTTGGTCAATAAAAAACTGCGAATCGATTCTAATAAATCATCCATTCGAAGTGTCATTAACAGAGAATATTATCTTGATGCAAATCGGCTTCAAATATATACCAAATGAGAAATATAGCTCGAAAATGATTAGGGTTAAATTAAACAATTCTACCTGGACAAAAAGGTCCGTTTCCTTGAACAAAATAAATCAAAATATTATGTTGTGGTGTTTAACGCATAGGTTTTATTTATGACCGTTTCTCTATTGGTTGCCTGGCTTCAAATGTGTCTTTTCTCCAAGGGTTCAACGCATGTAAAGTATTTTCGAATGTGATTGATGCTAAATTACGAGCGCCTCTCCGTATATAAGCCAGTACGTTGAATAAGCAGGTAGCCTGTCTGATTGGACGGAGGTAAATGGCAAACTATCCAATCGGGTATCAGGTAGGACGTATTTAAATAAATTTGGTTCAGAAATTTCTGCGCATCAGTATAATGTATTAGCATATATAGGAAAATGGAGTGTTTATAGTTCAAATTAGGATGACCTTCACCGAATAGCTAAGACAATTTTGACAGAAAACATGTTATTACAGGTAATTGCAGTTTTAACTTGAACAATGCTTTGACGTCGTTACACATGGAGTAAAACACATACAGAAGTCATTTTCCCCACTGTCGGCCATAAGATATGGCTGGTAATTTTTAAAATCAAGAAACTACATAATGAATTGAAGTCAATAATAAAAAAACGGATTGGTTTGATGGTCCAGCCATACTTCAGGGAACGCACACATTTTTGGGATATCTCAGCAACCAATGGGAGTTGGGAGCTGCTGTTTGAATATGATTAACCAATGAGAATGCTGTAAACGTGTTTATGGCTACCAATGAGCGAACGCAATTGTGCAAGGACTTTCCATACAGCAATCGATTGTTGCACGTTTATATTTAATTATACACGGTCGAACTAGCAAGCATTCAGGCCGCACTAGTCACCATAGAGCAGATGGACGAGTAGCTCGTTCGGTCAGGAGTCGCTATGACAGTGATCTTCTGGACAATGTTCGGTCGATGCGGCGTTTGATGCGATGCAATGGTGTCTGGTGATGCAACTCAGTCATTTGGCTTTCAAATGCAATTTTGGGGGTCAGTGGCACTCGAGTTTTATTATTATTATGCCGCCAACGAATGAGCCAATCAGAATCTTGATATATTATTTAGATGATGTGCTTGATTAATTCAAAAATTATTACGCCAAAATTCTCACGTTCTTATTCAACGTCGTTCCCTGTACTTTTGCTTTCTTGAAATGCATATTATTATATATTTATACTGTATTGCGATTTGTATTGACCGTGCCCGATTCAGACAGTCCCCTACAATAGTAAGTAGTAGTAGTAGTAGTAGTACACTGTGAAAATGAATAAAATGCACCATACTATTAATAGTATGCTGTACTCGAACGTTAAACTCCAATACCATATGATATTCCTACAGAATATGCGTTGAACCCTTTTAGTAGAGCTAATTTTAGGTATACACCTATTTTCACAGTCTGATTATCAGATAATTGGACGAAGCTTGAAAATAGATTACAGTACTAGTATTGATATCTACCAGCACTGAAAATAGATAATTGCATCCAAGTCACATAAGAAGTCGATTATTTTTGCTATCTTATCTAGATTATTATCTCAAAGATATATCAAGTCCTAAGCCTGGCTTATCAGTCACTGATAAGCCAAAATTAAGAAAAATTCCATTTTCTTCAATTTTCCATGGTTCGTTCAATGGCGGGAACAAACAACACCACAGCCGAGGCCGCGACGCCTGCCGCCTCATCCCCGACGGCCGAAGAGCTCCTTGCGAACGACCGTGCGGTGATTGACTTTGCGAGCGGCGATGAGGACGACGAAGTAGAGCAGGACGAAGAGGATGAGGCTGAAGAAGGCGGCGAACGACCAGCCAAACGCCAGCGTCAAGAGCCCCCCGCAAACGGCACGTCCAAACAAGTGGAGGTGCCGCGCAAAGCAACGTTCACCCGCGCGGACAAGATCAACAAGACCATCATGAAAGTCACAGGGAACGACGACAGTGGATTTTCCATGTTCAACACGTCGTCGTCGTACCCCATGATGATGGTGTACAAGAAAGAAATTGCCGCGTCGCGCAAGCTTCTGACGGCCAAGAAACCCCAAGATGCGTTTTGTATCGCCATGGCGGCGTATTTGAGTATGCAGGATTACGACGTGTGGTACCACGACACGGAAGACCCTCGTGGCGTGGAACTATTGTTCACGGCGTACTACAAGCTGTGGAACGACATCTTCAAGTCGGACGATGCCACGATAGGACTCAAAGGGCGCCAAGTATTGATCAACGTGCTAAGCAAGTTTGGCAATGACGTCATGGACGACCACGAGTACAACTTCCCATGGTTTACCAAGGCATAGTTTTGTGTTTGTTTATATTCATCCATTTCCCAATGCTAAACATGACGTTATAAATATATAAATATACTGTATAAATATACTGTATGCACGTGCCCACTATCGTTAGTGCCAGGTTGATATATATATCTCCTATTCGAGTATGCGTGTTCAATCTTACATCATCTTCATGGAGCTCGAACGATGTCTTGATGGACTTTCAAATGTCAACCCCATTATCATGGCAAGTCTATATTGTTTCACGCTGTCAACTTTGTACTTGATGCTTGGTCACTCAATGTACTGATCCATAGATTACTCAATTATTCAAAACCCAATATGCAGATATGTATCAGGCCACGCTTTAAATCACCACAGCAGAAATGAAAGTAGCGTTGGCTTGAGAGGCTCCCTTGTAGGTCTTTAGGAAGCACACGCCATTACGATGCCTATCCTGCCAGGAGAAAGCTAGCCTTGGCTCCATCCACAGTCTCGTTGGTCTTCATGGCGGACTTGAGAGTGCAAGTGCCACCGAACCACACAAACAGGTTGCACCCAGACGTCGCTTGGCAGTCTCCACAGCACGCATCGGCGGAGGTCTGACTCGTGTAACCGATGTTGTGGCCGACGTAATTCACGTTCAACTCCATGGGTGCGCAGGCGCTGGAAGTAGGCAGCGATCCAGCCTTGGCCCCATCCACAATCACCCTGTCTCCTTTGTCGGACTTGAGAGTGCAAGTGCCACCGTACCACACCAACAGCTTACATCCCGGTGTATTTTCACAGTCGGCGCAGCAGGATTCAGCTTTGGCCTGATTGGTAAAAGTTATGATGGGCCCATCATAGTCCACGTCTTCTTCCAAGGTGCCACACGCGGTCAGGTCATTGTTCGGTTTCAGTACTCGTGCGGACTTGGAGCCTTGCTTGTACACCCAGTCGACCGGCACGTGTCTCCGTTGTCCTGCGTAAACAAAAACGCATTGCAGTTTAGAGTGTTGCGGCATTCGTCGCAACAGTCAGCAGCCAACAGTGAGCAGCCAACAGTCAGCAGCGGTGCGTTGGGACTCATTCTTGACCTCCTCCCCAATGACCTCGAAGTCGTCGGTCCACAAGGTACACTTCGGGAGAGTAGCATTCATGGCCCTGATGATGTTCAATCGGCCGTATCCATATATGTTGTTGGGATATTGCGTGTTGGGAATATCACCGCAGGTATAGTTGGTGTAGGGAGTTGATAACGCAGAGGAAATTTTAAACTGATTGATTGGCGTTATCTACATCTGCATGCATGGCTACTGTGACTATACTATATCTAATGCTATATATACGTGCGCTCTGCAGAAGGAACTTCTGATGTCCATGGCCGAGCACGCCGCACGCCAATCGAGCTTGGTCGTAAACTGACGTCAACTGTGACGTCTGGTCTGATTGGTCGATAACCCTATGACGCCACTGGAGTGACGTCGTTACATTCTCCCCTGGTTATCGACTTCGCCGCTTGTATCTTCGCTCGCAGATCTTGAACCAGGC